ATGAACACCCTAATACTAAAATCTTTTTTGACAATATATTTCAACACGGCATAATCCCAATCATTAACAAACCAACTCGTGTTACAACAACTTCCATTAGTGCTATAAATAATATTCTAACAAACTCTTTTCTAGATAAGTCTATTAAAACAGGAATAATTAAAACTGATATTTCGGATCATTTTCCTGTTTTCTTTTTTTTTGCTGAACATGCAACCATAAATGATAATTCTAAAATCAAAGTTTTGAAACGAAAAATGAATGAACATTCTATGCTTAAATTTAAAGAATCTTTATCAACAATAAATTGGATAAATGCATACCAAGAATGTTACCTTGGACACACAAATTCCGCTTATAATCTATTTCTCGACATCTTTCTTGAATATTATAACAAACATTTTCCAATACAAGAAACAGAAGTCAAAACAAAATAATTAAAATGTCCTTGGATTATACGCGGGATAAATACCTCTCACATAAATACCATTAATACAAAAGTCTCAAAAAACATTGGTCTACTCTATAAAGCAAGAAATTATTTATCGTTCAAAAATTTAAAACTTTTTTATTTTTCCTTTATACACAGCTATCTATCATATGCCAATATAGCATGGGCAAGTGCCCATAAAACTAAATTAAGTTCACTCTATAGACGACAGAAACTCGCCTCAAGAATTATTTTTTATAAAAACGAACTTACTCACGCAAACCCATTACAAAAACAGATGAATGCTTTAAACATTTACCAAATTAATATATATCAAAATATTTTGTTTATTTTCAAACATAAAATGGGAAGTATTCCAAGTCGATTTATGAATAACGTTTTTAAAACTAATATAAAAAAATTTAGCACTAGATCAACTGGAAACTATATAAAACCCCTTAAAAAAAGAAAACTCAATTCTCAATAGCATATCGTGGTCCTTACTTGTATAACAAATTAATACCAAAAAATTCCTCAACATCTCTCCTGAAAAATATAAGTTTCTTAAAATCTTATCTTAAAAAACTTGTCCTAAATACAAGCAGTTATATGGAAATTTTCTAATAACTTATGAGTAATTAAAATATCAAAATCATGTACAAAAAAAAAAATAAATAATAATAATAATAATAATAATAATAATAATAAAAAAAGTATAAATATGCATATATACATGTGTATGTGTGTATGTGCATGTTTATGTATGTGTGTATATGTGTGTATGTGTATGAGAATATGTGTGTATGTATGTATGTGTATGTGTATTTATGTATGTGAGTGTATGTGTATGTGTGTATGTATATATGTATGTATGTATGTATATATATATATATGTATGTGTATATGTGTATATGTATGTATGTGTATATATATGTATGTGTATATATATATATATATATATATATATATATATATATATATATTTATATATGTATATGTGTATGTATATGTGTATGTGTGTATTTATGTGCATGTCTATGTATGTATGTGTATATATATATGTGTGTGTATGCGTATGTGTGTATGTGTATGTGTGTATGTATATATGTATATATATGTATGTTTGTGTATATATATATATATATATATATATATATATATATATATATATATATATATATATATATATATATATATATATATATATATATATATATATATATATATATATATATATATATATATATATATATATATATATGTATGTATATATGTTATGTTTATGTTATGCTCCTTCCTTAAAACACGACTAATTATATTGAAAAATGTAATAAGTAATAAATAAGATATTTATGAGTATCTCATGAAATTGTTTAAAAAAAGGGTTCTCGATGACAAGACTTTACACAGTTTTCTGCGAGTTTCCTTTGACTACATAACTAAAGGTTTAATTTTTCTTTTTTCAAGACTTTTTTTTTTTTTTCAAAATATAAACTGAAAAACTATTTTACATTACTTTATTACTTTGTACATCAAATATATCTTAGTATTATTTCAGTTATTTTCAAAGCATTTTGACTGTATTTGTAATACAAGTATATATTGTTCAAACTATTTGTAATAAAAGTATGTATTGTTAAAGCTATGTAGTTGTAAAAATAAATGGAAAAATAAAAAAAAAAAAAAAAAAAAGATACACGCGGTCGTAACAATAAAAAAAAAAATTTCGTATAGGTTTTATCTATATCGTTTCAGTTGTATATAATTTTTAAACTAAAAAACTATATTTCTATTTAATCTGATGATTGTAACAGCATAAAATTTAAAGTTGTGATAATCATGTAGTTTTATTTTCACCATTATTTTCTGTCTGCACTGTTTAATGTCAAATTGATTTTTTATTATATTTGCTAGTTTGCTGTCATCAGCAAAGTGCTTGAGTGAACATTTGACAACGTCTGGCATATCATTAATGTACACTATAAATACTAAAGGACCTCGTCAAGATTCTTTTGGCATACCATTCTGAATTATCCACTTAGAATATGTTTTCGTAAACAAGAACTCTATGTTTTCTGTCCATGAGGAATACTTTTTGCCGCCTCAGTAGTTTACCTTTGAAACCATAGGCCTCTAATTTGACAACTAACACTTCATGACAGACTTAATCAAAGGCTTTAGCAAAATCTAGATTGATTATGATTTCGTAAAGGCCACAGTTCAGTGCCTCTGATGTGATGTGTATTGTCTCTAATAAATTTGTAACACATGATTTTTATCTTTCAAAGCCATGTTAATGCTTAGCAAATAATTTGTACTGAACTAGGTGGCTTATCATATGTTTTTTCAACAACCTTTTTATGATTTTTCGTATTATTGCTGTTAAAGATATTGGTCTCTATTCAGATGGGTCGTTTTGTTTACTTTTTTTTTATATATTGGTTTCACATTTGCTTCTTGATAATTATTAGGTATTATACCTGTTTCAAATGATAACACTAACAGAAGGGAAGTTGTATAATCATCTCTACCATAGGTATGTTTGGATTGTAATAACACCATGGTTGGTGAGATTAATGGTTCAAACAAGAAACTCTTTTTAAGAGTGCAATGGAAATTCTTTTTAATTGAGATGCCAATAGATGAAATAATATTGAGTTTTATAATTATGGAGGGGCAGCCAGTTAGCAAGGTCAAGGATATTATTGCCAAAAGTACATTTCGTGACATGCTGTGCAAGAGCTGCAGGGTTAGGGTTAGGGCCAGGGTTAGGTTTAGGGTTAGGGGGTTGACAGATTTCAAAAAATCAGTGCTTGACATAGTTTCCTTTTTTAGTGCGTCTTTCAGCTGCTGTTCACTGTACATCAGGGTAATTAAATTACTAAATGTTTGTAGCTCTATTCCTTTTTTTTTTTGTTGCTAAATTTGAAGCAGAAATTAAACTATAATTAACTGATCTATTTTAATCGTAAATCAGTATATTATCTGATTTTTTTTTTTCTTCCAAAAACTTTACCGGCTTTGACATGATGATTTGCTGTTTCTGTAACAACTTGATTGATGTTGCTAGATTTAACCAGCCATGGTTCTGTCGTGTTGATGTTGTATGATTTCCGTGGCCTGGACTAGGCCAGTATGACGTTGCTGCTTTCATTTTAAGATTATTCTTTTGAATATATATTACTTTTTTACTGCTGGGCCATAAAGGGCGATTTTTAAAGTAATATAACAATTTATGTTCAATGAAAATCTCTGTCGAAAAGAGCCGATTATCTTCTACTTCTAATTATAATATTAATTCTGATTGATGTCTTTTTTGGACAAACCCGCAAATCATCATGTGCCATAAAAAAAATGTTTTAAAAATAAAAACAAAAAAAAGGTTATTAAAGTAGAAAACAGGAGCTAGTATATTTCATATTTCACATTTATTGTAAGTTCAATTTTATAGATATTTTTTTCTCTATACATAAATCGCATTGAGAAGTAAAATTATAATTACAAAGTCTGTGCAGAAACCACAACAAATTTCGTCTAATTACAAAAAAATATCCGTTGCAACAAAGAATATCAACAATTATTTTTTTAATCATAGTCTTAAATTTTTAATAGGACTATGACTTATTCAAATATTTAAATTTGCTTTTACGAATTAAATTCAAGCGAGCAGTGAATCAAGTTTTTTTGTTTTTAAATTTCTAATACCAGTATGTTGAAATAAAAATAGAATAATGTTATCAAACGTATTTAATTTACATATTAATAAACGTATTTAAATTACGTTATAAATAAAAGCAGGTAGAAATCTCATTTATTCAAAGAAATCTAATTTAAGTGGAGTTTGCAATAAAGCTTAATAAGTTATTTAAATTTTCAGAAAAAAGGCAAAACTTATAAAGAAATAGCATATGGGGAGGTATAACAAACAAATTTAATATCTTTTTAGATCGTACTACATTTCTTGCTAAGTTTTTAAAATAATATCTGCTGTTGTTGGAACGCATTGCAAACAATTTTAGAAACAAATTTTTGAAGACAGTTGCCAAGAAAATTCCAAATCTCAAGAAAATTTTTAAAATAGACATTTAAGAAGTTGAACAATCGCGTAGATATATCAATAACAGCAATCTCATTTCAAGCTTTACACAAATAATTAAATTAGAAATTCTTCTATTATTTTTCTATTAATTTATAATAATAATTAATTTACAATAATTTCCAGAAATATTATTTAACTTTGATTTGGTAAAGTTTATATGGAGAATAGGATTATTGCCCCTTTTTATTAGGAGTTTTAATTTTATGAGCTATTGAGAATACCGCGTTTGACGGGAACACAAAAATCCTTGCTTACGAACTATTGCTAACATACTCATGCAAGCAACAACAAATACAATCTAAATAAAATTCTCGACTAAAAGGAAACAATTGAACCTTAATAGAAACAATTTAAAATAAATAATATTTAAAAGAAAACAACTGCTTGCATAAACTAGAACCTCAGTAAATATATGTCTCATATGTATCACTGATTAAAATATCAAAAAATATCAAATAATATTTCATATACCTGTAGGTAAAACAATAACTGCCTGGAGTCCATTATCTAAAAACAGTGAAATAATTTTTTTTGAATATAGAAACCAGCAACCTCTCAAAAGAAAAAAACAACAAAAAAACATTGAAAACTTAAAATTGATAACTTAAAACATACTGGAAACACCATTGACAACAAATAAATTTCTTATTGAGCCATATTGAGCATCATACCAAGGATCTGATGCATATACTTTAACATTATCAAAACTTTGAGCCAGGTTATTTATTTCAGAAAAGACAATTTCTTCATTTATTCTGATTGTGTATATGTAAACTGAGTTTCTTAAAAATTGACTAACTTCAACACTAGACCAATGATTTAATCCAATCGGATTTGTGGTAAAAACTCTGTCGACATTACCATTAATTGGCGCTGAAATGTAGAGACCTCCTTTTCCGTCAGTGTGAAACCAGATACCAGGAGTTCGATCGCCATAACGACCATAATCAGAACCAATAGAGAAATGAATAACACTATGCCAACCAGCAACAAACTTATTAGGATAGATATCAAACGAAACCAAATATTCCTTATCTAACTTGGGTATTTCTGCAATAAGTTTTCCTTTGACTAAATTTGCAGGTACGCTGCCAATAATAGTTTCTACAAAATTAAATGTATTCAACCTAATACCACAATGCACATAAATTTAGACTTGAGTTAATTGATTTTTATTTTCTTTAATTACAAACATTTTCAATAATGGAGTTAAACAAGAAGTACTTTATTAGAAGGACATTAACAAAAATTTGAATAAAATTTAAAATTTAAATAAGAGACAATAAAAACATTTGTTAAAATCATTTTTACCAATGTTACCATTGACAATGATAATATTAGAAATTAGAGCGTTTTGAGCAGCATACCAAGGGTCAGAGGCGTATACTATTATGTTTTGAAAATCTCTGGCGTCAGAATTTTCAACTCTATGAATGTTGATTCCATTAAGATCAACAGAATACCAATACTTCCCGTTATGTACACTTTGACATATTTTAACACTGGACCATTGATTTAATGGAAGCGGAGCTGTTGCAACGTAATAGTTATTGTTACCGTTAACTGCAGTAAAAATTGAAAGTTTTCCGGAGCCGTCATCATGAAACCAAACACCTGGAATTCTGTCACCATAAGCTCCGTAATCTTTACCCTGGGTTAAATGAAAAACACTCTTCCAGCCTTTAGAGTAACTTTTAGGATAAACCTTAAAAATGATAGTGTGTTCCTTCCTTAAAACATCGAGTGTTCCAAGAATTAAACCTTGATTTAAAACAAACTGCTTTTTATGGATAATAAAATCTAAACAAAAATTTTAAGTCTTATTTTAAAATTGTTGTCTATAAATAACCAGAGAAGTGTACACAAACGTATACACACATAAACACTCAGAGTAAAACACACACAAATATATATGTGTATATATATATATATATATATATATATATATATATATATATATATATATATATATTATATATATATATATATATATATATATATATATATATATATATATATATATATATATATATATATATATATATATATATATATATTTTATATATATATATATATATATATAAAACAAACTGCTTTTTATGGATAATAAAATCTAAACAAAAATTTTAAGTCTTATTTTAAAATTGTTGTCTATAAATAACCAAAGAAGTGCACCCAAACATATACACACATAAACACTCAGAGTAAATCACACACAGATATATATATATATATATATATATATATATATATATATATATATATATATATATATATATATATATATATATATATATATATATATATATATATATATATATATATATATATATATATATACATAAGTTTTATGCATTTATTAATTGCATTTAAGTTAAAAATACTCAAAATAAAATTGTGTATCTGTATACGTAACATAAAATAAACACAAATAATAAACTAAGAAATAAGTAACTTTTTTTAGTGAGAATGATGAACCTGATGCTTTAATAATAAATTATCAACATTTAGCGCCAACTTCGTAAGGTTTAATCTTAAATCTCTTCGTCTTATGATGTCCAGTCTGTTACTTTGTTTCGTTAGGAGATCGGTAACAACGCTGAACCCTCTTTCCACTAGGTATGAAGATGGAAAGGAAATAAAAAAATTTCTTGCTATATTTCATAATACGGAATAAGTAAAGGGTACCATAACATAAGATACCATACATAAAGGGTATGATGTTTTGCATCCAGAATTGCTGATATCCGTTTTTAAACTGAACCTTATGTTCTTCGTTTGTACTTAGTGCTATCAGTTCCTATTGTATTATGACATTTGTTTCTTCTATCTCACCACATGGGTTAATTACCACGATGGTATTACCATAGTCAAAACATCCTCAAACCTAGTTTCGAAATCTGAATATAGGGCATTTAAGTGTTGAACGTAGGTTCAAACGTCGTATCAGTGTATGTTGAGATCCACTATCGTGGACCCCCGTTTTTATTTCATGGACCCCCAAACATTTATTCCACTGACGCACACCCCTTGCAGATTGTCATAGACCCCTGGGGGTCAATATAGACCACTTTAGAAAATCACTGTTCTAGACCAAGAGCAACTTAAAAAAATTGTTTTAGTATTACAATTTTATTAACATTTATTTAAGCCGTTTAAATAAGAAAATCTTTGGTTTGTCGAAGTTCTTACTTACATTCTTTACGTTTTTGAGTATTGGCTTAATTTTATTAGGTTGAATTTTTAAAATGCTGCAAAATATTTATATTAAAATCTTTTAAAATTTTTTTGACAAAAAAACTGCTATCGTAGTTTAGGAGGGAGAGGGGTTCAGGTATATGTGGTGTTTGTGACAGAAGGCAAGGGGTTAATAATTGACAAATATAGGGTGACGCGATTTATGGTCGACTTATAATTTCATTTACAATTGTGTGGTTTACTAAAAAAAAAAAAAAAAAAAAAGAATTTTAACTGGTTTTTTTTATATTAGGAGAGCACCAAATATTTCCTTTTTTTAATGTTCAAATACAAGTAATTACATTATTCTTATTTTTATTGATTGAAATCTAAATAAAAAATATAAAATCTCATTTTAAATTTGCTATGTAATTAAATTTTAAAAATATACTATTTTTTTTGATTGAATATTTTAAGACCCAAATACAAAAAAATTCAAAAAAATAACTAAATAACACAAAGTATATTACAAAACAATTTATGATATACTTGCAATTTGATATTAAAAACATAATACTACAATGCTATTAAATAAATAACAATAATTCTATAAATTATTAACTAAAATTTAAAGATAGTAAATTATTATTCTTCTTCTACGGATTAAAAAAGCATAATTTCTACTAATATAGAAGGTTATGAAGTCATATTATTTTATATTTTAACTTTTTAAAAATTAAAAATTTTTTTTTTTTTTTTTCAAATTGTGTGAACGCAATTTGTTCCAAATACTGTGAATTTTTAAAATATTTGTTCCAAATATTGTGAAATATTTAAAATATTTTTAGTGATTTAAATTGTTTTATTTTTATATTTAAAAGAAAGAATATAAATTTTATTTAAATATTTTTATTAATTAATGATCTTAGAATAATGTAGTGATATTTCACTGACCTTTTGTGTTCATATTCACATAACAACTATGTCTATAATTAAGTAGCTGTAAATTTTATGAACAAATGTTTTAAAAAATTAAAGCGAACAAATAATTAGAAAGATAACATTAAAAGGCATTAAACATAAAAATTAATCAAATAAATAATGGTGATGTTAGTTAAAGCTTAGCAAAAAAATGGTTTCACAGTTGTTTTTATATCATATTGTCACCATCATCTCACCCAGCAAGCACAAGTACATTTATTCTACGTTGAATGTAAGTCCGTCTCACTGCAAACTAAAACTGAACCTTCAAAAATAATTTTAAACAAATCGAAACCAAATAACAACTAAACTAAAAGCATTTACGTAAGCTAACCCGTATACATAATCAAAATATCATCTACGATAATCATAGTATATACGATTTTAGTTTTTAGAACTTAATTCTTAAATTATTTGGCAGAAGATATACAAACATGTTTTCCCAAGAGATAAGACCATTGAAAATCATATGACGATAGTAAACCCATGATAAATCAAGAATGTATTTGGTCTTAGATAAATTAATAGAAAACAAAGCTTTAAGATGGATTGGTCAAGTTTAAACACTAGGAAGGGTTCAATTTCTAAATTTGGGTCAAAAAAAATTATCCAAATCTTAACAATTTATTGTTAATTGTATATCAAGATATATAACAAAGGAAACTGTTGTTGCAGTTTGGGAAAGAGCTTGGATTTTCTTGATATTACTACTGAAAAACAAGATATTGGCTGTCCTTTTTTTCCTTTTTATTAAAAACTAACACTAATTACCATATTGTGGCTGTTTTAATTTGTGAATATGAAACCACCAAAATTATTGCAAAAGCACTTTTGTGTTTCAAAGGATGAAGTTCTTTATTGCAACTAAAATTCTATTTTATTTATTATTATTTTGATCATAAGTTGCTTAGATAATTTAAATATTGATTTTAGATTTAGGTTGTAAAGTGTTTGTTAGTGATTTTCATTGAGAACAAACTTTGAAATTCTGACTGTCTAAAAGATAATAGCCGTCCAGTTATGTATTCAAAATGTTGCTCTTAAATTACAAAAACAAAAATATTTATACTCTTAATAAAGTTGATGTAATATAACTGTGGATATTGAAAAATTTTCTCTATTGTACAAACAGGTTTTTGTGATATTGGTTTTTCTTTTTTACTTATAATATTGAAATATTTATAAGCTTTTTTTTCCAATTTCAGAGATGAGTGACTGCGTAAAGGCAAGCTCCGATCTTGCTATCCTATCTTTTAAATACACCTTTTTTGGAAAAACGAAAGAGTTTTTCACCAACAGCAACGTTTAGTATTTGCATAGGAGAATTTCTTCCTTGCAGATATAAAAAGTTAGGTAATACAGTTACTACAATAACTTTTTTTTTAGTACAAACAATTTTTTTTTTTTGCATGATATTGTCACCTATTTCTGTTAAAAAGATATTCTGGTTGTCCACTTTATAAATTAATATCATTTTTGTAATTGTGATGAAAACAGAAGAGCACATTCATGATAAACTCCGAAAATATCATGATCAAACTCCGAAATATTTAATTAAGCAGCCTCTATCTTTATCTAAAGTTTTAATAGAAGAATGTATTTAAAGATAAATTACAGAGTGCAGGATATATATCTGTGAGTTAAAAACCTTGTAAATTTAAAATAACACTATGTAACACAACTTTCATTCCTGGCTTCTAAGTGTTATATTTCAATTGCTATGTATGTAAGTATGCGAAAAAATAACTTCATTAAGCACAAACATAGCTTACACGACAACATCACGGAGAAAACTCATTTTTTTTCGTCATTATGATCAGGTAAAAACAAAAACTGCTCAAGGAATAGACAAACATATTCTGAAACCACTCTACAAGGGTCAGAAATTTAAAAAAATTTTTAGATTTAAAAGTTACTGTGAATCACTCTATCAAAGTTGTTCCCAAATGTAGTTTCTATTTTCATTATATTGTCCTTGGTAACGACACTAAGAGTAAGCGTCCATGTTCTCCTTAAAATTGTTGAGATGAGAACCAAGTATTTGGACTTTTGAAGATATTCTGCATCCCATTACAGTGAAATTCTTTATGTTTAAAATGCGAAATCCTCACATTTTATGATCTTCTTGATGGTCTAACAAAGATACCAGTCCTGACCTTAGCCATGGCTAAAGTCATTACCTTGGGAGGCTTTGGAAAAAGATCTTTGTGTTATTGAAATCCTGCTGACTCCCTGTCAAGAACAGTGATAAACTGCTTAATGAGGCGTAACTTGATGTGCAGTAGTGAAATAAGCACTTTATAAGGTTGTATCACTTTCACATTGCTCTTCCCAACAGAAAACTTGGTCCGTTGTGACCAGTCCTTTGTGTGAAAATGCGCATTATGGTCATAGCTTTCCCAGAAACAAAGGAAACAATAAAATTTCATGAAACCTCCTTGAAAACCTTGAAGTCACCGATTAACTCCCATCCATAGTCGACTTAATTTTTTTTTTTTCAATTTTGACATTAGTGTAGTCCTTTTTGAGCAAGTGGGACATCAGGAGAGACTGGTAGTTGTTTCCATTGTAAAGCAACATAGCATTGAGGCTCCGGGACGAACTTTCTATGAATAAAGGCTATTCAATAGGATTGCCTATAC